ATTACATGTTAGTGTAACTGTAACCAATTCTAATTAAAGCAAAACGAAAGAAACCTTACATTATAAGTGCCAAATATTTTCTCCTTTTCACTAATATCTCTGGTATTGCTCTGGGGGCTATACTTTCTTAAAAAGGCTTCCAAGATAGAGAGAAAGTATTCACTATGCTAGCTGCACTCTGACCATAGCTAAAAAAAAATTACTTGGTAACAGAACAAGAGTGCTTTGTCATTGTCTGGGCTACTACTTATTTTTGTCAATACCTCCATGGTAGTTGTTTTACCTTGGTTACTGACTACTTGGCACTTGAGTTATTGTTAAAGAATATTCTGTCTAAAGGACTTCTTACTTGTTGGATCTTATTTTTGCAAGAATATGAGTTTGTTATAGTCTACTATTCTGGTAAACAACACTCTAATACAGACAGTCTTTCTCATATAATAAACTCTTCAGATCAAAAACCTGGTCATCATTGCCCCTATTGTCTTGCTTCATACAATTTTAAGACCAAATTGCCTCTAAGTCAAAAACCTCTACAATTTGTACAATTTTGACTACACAAAATTTTCTTCCTGCCACATTGTTTGACTTTTTATTTATTATATCTAACTTATTATATTCCAGTTATTATTACTATTTTTATAAATATAGATCCAAAACAATATCAAAGTTTTATTGACTATCTTTCCAACCCTAATTATTTTTCCACTTTACTTCTATAGCAAAGTAGATTTTTAAAACAACACACTTACTATTTTGTAGTTATAAACAACATACTATATAAGAAATATCATTTATCTCCTCTCCAACTTCTTCGGGTTTTACTACCTTACAAAATTATACTTATCCTCTTCTGCATACATTCTAACCCATTATCAGAACATTTCAATGTTGTTTCTATACTTTACTGAATATCACTTCAATACTTCTGGCCCCAAATGAGCGAAGACATTTGACAATATATTCAGTCATGTGATATTTGTCAATGTTGGGGTAGACCAAAAACTCATGAACTGTTATACTCTATCAAAATAGAATGTCAATTCAACCAGGTTAGAATCAACATTGTCAAGCCCTTAACCCCACTAGAACTAGCAACAAATATATTGGCACATGCTTTGTCAGATGCCTTAGCTCTATTAGTAGCTTTGTTTCTCATTAAAGATATTATTGCCAACATAGCAGTCCTAGAGAGCTCCTTTCTGATCAAAAAAAATACTTTGACAATTACTTAGTAAAAGCTATCTGCACACAACTTCAGATATATTACAAATTCTTGTCTAGCTACCACCCCAAACTAACAGGTTAGTAGAACACTTTAATCACTCTCGATGTGCAGTTTTAGACAAATGCTCTGTGCAATTTTCGAGTAATTGAGAACAATATCTTCTAGCAGCTTACCCACTACCAAACACTTTGTAACCTAATATGAATCTTTCTACCTTTTATATGAAAGAGATGCCATTTTACCCAAAGAAGTTTATAAAGTTGTCCCAGAAATTCTCTGCTAATGAACAAGACCACTTGGATCGTATTCTTTAACAAGTTGAAGTTCTATTAGGAAACCTGCTCTGAGCACAAATTGACACTCAAAAAAAACAATTAAGACTCAATAATGACAAAAAGATTATCACGATAGATGATATCGAATCAAAAGTTACTCCATAGGTAATAAGGTCATCCGGTATCAGTTCTCTTTAGAAGGGACACATAAAGGGAAATTAGAAGAAAAATAGAAATGTCTCTTCTACATTCACAATGTTTACAGGAAAAATATCTATAAGCTGAGAACTCTTGATAATAAGGTTTTGAAGCAAAAAGTTATGGTAACCACCTCAAAATTTATCATGACCAAATTAGCAGTGATTTAGAACCTAATAGACCTTCACAGGAGCTAAGAGATTGAGATGAGAAGTTTGTTATAGCTCTCTTCATTTTTTTTTCCCATAGATTTTTTTTGTTGTTCTTTTTTTTGTTTGTTATTTATATTACTTTTCTGTAATATTTTCACACTCTTTGTTAGCATTAAAGGCTAATGTTAAAATCCTTGAATTTTTATTGTTATTTTACATTGGTTTGTTATCGTGAACATATTTTCACAATCTTATTACTATATCATGAACACATCTTCATGATCTCATTCTTGTTTTGTGAATACATCTTTACATTTTCACACCTTTTCCATTGTTAACTCCTCCAAATTTATTCATCACGCCTTAAATCAATCTCGTTATAGATTGTCAACAATTGAGAATTGAGATTAATTTATCTGCCCACATGTTTTAAACATATTGTGAACTCTTAATGCGTATTTCTTAAAAATATTTTGTAAGCAGATATGTTTTAGTTTCATATTTGCAATGTTCATATATAACTACTCTTAGCTTATTCACTTAAGTAAATTTTCTATATTGCCCAATGCCTTGGCTCATTAGTTACCTAGTTAGTTTACTATCCTAAGCCAATTTGGCATCTCAATAACTGATACTCTTCTAATCTAATAGTAACACCATGACTAATTCCTAAATTTTAAATTCTTGTAATATTACATATCTATATTTGAATTATTAATATTCTGTATTATTTAGAATTTAAGTTGGTTTAGAATTTTTGGAATTGAAATCTGTAATTTCTCAATTTTTACTAATTATGAAGTGACCCAGGCCAATTTGCAATGCTAGTCATGAGACTATAGCAATTTAATAAACTATAATAATAATTATATATTATATAATTTATTAATAATGAAAATGATAATTGCATATTTTATTAATAAAAATAATAATTAATAATAATTATATTGATATTTGCATAAATATTTCATTGATATTTATAAAGATAATTTTTTATTATCAAATGCTTCATTTTTTTATTTCTTATTTTCAAATCGATTTTTACCTCCTTGTATTATATATTTTTTTTAAACACTTATAGATTTGCAGAATATAGCTTTGTAACTCGTAAAATCTATAACAGAAAATTTGAGACTTTGTTAATAAAAGAAAAAATAAGCAAAGCTTGATAGATATAGAAATTATTATAATGAATTCTAAATATTCTAAAAAAAATCCAAACCTTCAATATAATCTGAAGTTCAAACATTGGGTAGTTAACACTTTTAAAATTCTTCATATTGGTATAACAGAGGAACTGCACATGCTTAAACAAGACAGGAATAACTTGGGAATACAAGATTGTTATGTCAAAAATTTTATGAAATAACTTGTGCTATCTATCAAGCAATTAAGCATAGTGGTTATGAGAAAATCCAAAAAAGGTAAATTTTCTTTATTTTTTATTTTTTATTTTTTATTTTTTATTTTTTATTTTTATTTATTTTTGTTTTTTTAAAAAAAAGTTTCATCTTATTAAATTTGGGTTTGATATTGATATATATCCCAGATGCAGGTGCATAACAAAACCTTACATGTCTAACTTATATTGACTATTCTAATTACCTTGAGTAAGTAATCAAAAAATAAATAAATAAATATAAATAATAATAATAATTATAATATAAAATAAGTATATGTTATTGTTCACAAAGTGGGCAATAATCAAGAATCAATCCCAGATCAGATGATTGGATAATGATAGAATAGCCACTGGCTGCAAAGCAGCCAGTGTGCTATTCTGTCATTATTCTGATTATCTGATCTAGAATTGATTCATGGTTATATCCACTTCATAGATAATAACTGATTTATTTTTAGGTTCTTATTATACTTCTATACTATCTCTTCAATTAAAAGTAACGTAATTTATACAATTTTAGTCATATAAATAAAAAAAGAATTTGATTTAAAAAAATAAAAACTCTTTTACTAAATAAAAAAAAAAAAAACACACACACAACTTTTATTATGTCAAGTTTTATTTCTTCCTGTGAACTAATTAAAGAAAACACTATTTCAAACACAGAAAAAAACATGAAAGTGTTATTATAACTAAAGACAACATTTAGTGATATTTAAAAAAATCCAAAGTTAAAAATACTGATATCTGTATACAAAAGTGAGTTCGATTTTTACAAGACTACCACATGAAAAAAAATATATCTTATAATATTCAAACATTGACAGATAAAGAACAACTTAAACATGAACTATGTGAATTTTTTGCTGATATTAAGTGACAGGCTAGAAAACTATACAAAGTTGAATTGCTTGTATTAGCCTATACTTCTATTAAACATTTTCTATTTGAAACATCTTTAATCAAAAATGTTAATTTTAATGATCGATTTCAATTTCCAATCTTGTACCAAGTTGTAGATGAAAAATGTATAGAATTACAAGATCAAGGGTTTGGTGAAGTAGAACAATCAAAAGGGTTAACAAAGGAAGAGATTTATCAAATTTTATCATATCTTAATTCAGATAACCAAACAGCATTACGACTTACACAGAAAGTAATTTTCTGGAATACATATTTATTAGGATTATGTGGTGGTGATCACTATCAACTTCTCTTAAGTTGTTTTGAGTTTCAACCAGATAGAAGCTTGATTTTTATGATTGGATGTGAGAAGAACAATCAGGGTGGACTTAAAGGTTGTAACAAATATAGAAAATTTTCTAGTCGACATATATATATTCCTGAAGATTTATTAAACAAAGAATACAAACCTGTTCAAAATCTTCAAAATTATATAAATATATATCCCCCAGATGCATGTGAAAAATTTTATTTGCTATTAACAAGAAATTTACAAGAAATTCAAGATGAAAACTGGTTTCTTAAAAGTGAGTTTGGAAAACATATATTGTCTAATATGATGAACAATATTGCACAAGCTTTTAAAATTAATATTACTGATTAGCATATTACTAATCATTCAAGAAGAAGGATGGCCATTCAGCTTTTATCTGATCTTAATATAAATCAACATGCAATGATGGAATTTTCAGGCTATTATTTAGTTAATGGATTACGATCTTAGAAAGCTCCTAGTAATAAGCAATAATTAAAAAATACTATGACATTAATTAATGCAATTCAAGAATCTCAAATTTTAGCCTAAGTTATGATTCAAGAAGATTCACAAGTCAAGACTCAAAAAGAATCTTATATTCCAATTCAAGAATCTCAAGTTCTGATTCAAGATAAATCTCAAATCCTAATTCAAGATGAATCTCAAGTTCTTATTCAAAAAAAACCACAGATTTCAATTGATACCAAAGCTAAAAAAAGAATGTCAAGGTTAACTGAGGAAGAAATTCAATTAAAATTAGCAAGACCATTCCGTCCACCATTACAAACACTTCAAGATCAAACTCAGAATATTATAATGGCAAAAGATGGAACTACAAATATTTTCGAATTTCATAATTCTGGAAATGTCACAATTATCTTTAAATAATAGATATAATACATAAATGTACTATTATATAATATAGCTTGTGCAAATTAAAATTTATTAAAGTTATTGTTACTTGTTGCTTACAGTCTTAAAAAATATCCTTTTTATAATTACAAATTGAAATATTTAGCCTAATTCAAACAATTTTAAATAACACTTTTTAAATAATTGATCTTGAACAATTTTAAGCATAACGGCTTGAATAAAGTATTCGACGACATTCTAACAATTTTTATACATAGTAATGATTTAAAAAAAGTATTTGGCCTAGTTTAGAGAATTTAAAAATTCCGGATCAGCCCGAATCTGGAATCTGGGTAATAAGCGTGAAGCGATAGTATGGAAGTATAAATAAGAACCGGGGAATAAATATTAATTACATAACTTTTAATAACATTAGGGTTGCAACTCATATTGGTTCAAGCTAATACACCCGACCAGATTCTTGCCGTTGCCGAAAATCAAATTGTGGCACCAAGTCATGTTCTTGCAGAAAAAGGAATTCGCTATGTTCAAGAAAATGTGGATACGTTCTACGCAGGGAATGCAAAATTTCTTTATTATATGTTTAAATATGAATATTTGAATGTATCCGTATGATGTATGCAAATTTAGTTAGCATTTTACATCTAAGCAATCATATAGTAATTCATTATTATTTGCTTTTTATATATTTTTTTTATACAGTGATTTTTTTTTTTTTTTAATCGGTAAATGGATACCAATTCCAAAACGACATATGTTATTTCACGATTCATGAACAACACATGTCAATTCCGAATCGACTTAAATTCCAAAATGACGCGGAACAGATTTGTAAAATTTTGATAAATAGACTAACTCATGAGCCGTAGCTCTGGTCAAATTTGCAAATCACTTGGCCTGATTTGAAATTATTTGACTTTAAAGCTGACCAAATGAAACGCCTTGCTAAAAATTCATAATTCAAAAATACAAATTTTAAGTTTTAGCCAATCATAGTAACTCTATGAAAAAAAATAAGGTATGCACCTTTATATGTTACTAATCGAAAATGGTATTCAATTTCTGACTTCAATCACTGAATGATAGTTATCATTACGGTGAAAAAAAAAAGGAAAGCAGCTGCATCATGAATTTTTTTAACGAAAAATTATTATAACAATCACTTTGACTTCGAAATTACAGCAATCGCATGATTGAGCAAAAATTGATGAGGCTGATAGAGAACGCTCTTAATTGATTAGTAAGCATTTAATTACGGCTATTTTTTTTTAATGTTTAAGTCTAAAAATATTAATCAATAAAGTCTGTTGAAATTATATTACATAAAGCTTGTTACTTAATTTTAACAAAGTGAAACATCTTGGTACGACTTTATATAAATGGTTTGAATAAGTTTATAAATTGTGATAATCTGTGATCAAGATTCTACAAAATTAGAAATATCTATTTACAATATTTGCATCTAGATTTTTGTTGTACCATAACGATAAACTATTAAACTATTTATGTCTAATTTTTTACTCACGGAAAACCTTAAAAATAGGGTACGCATTTACGTACGTAACCCATTCTAATCCTTTTTTTTTTTAAACAACTCATTTGTTAAGTTAATTGTGACGGATTTATAAGGATGAAATTCTTTTATATTGTTTTATTCATTTCTTTAATTATTTTAAATGCTAAGCATATAAATGCTCGGCAATTATTTGAATCATCAATCCTGATTGAACAACAAAACCAACAGAAGATTCAACAACATCTTGAGCAGCAAATTCTTAAACAACCGCTTTCTCAACAATATGATAGCCAACAAATCTCGATTTTGGCACCTATAGGAGTTAATCTTGTGAAATCGGTCAATATTACACGTGAATATGAAGCAACGGTTAAATGGATAGGTCATTTAATTAATGATGATGGTATGATTTTTTTTTTTATATATATAAAAAAATCGTTATTAAATATTTATATTTGGCACTTATAATGTAAGGTTTCTTTCGTTTTGCTTTAATTAGAATTGGTTACAGTTACACTAACATGTAAT